TCAGAGGTAAATTAGCACCTCCTTAGAGATCCAACAGCCAGTGTACCCAGTGGTCAGAGTGGGACCATCCAGATTACAACAACTCAGATCCGTAAGAGACACACTCTTTGTTATGGGGTGGGGCCACAACATTAGTAACAAAGAAACAGAATTTCCAGAGGATGAGGACCAGAAATCAAGATTTTAAAAAGATTCCCAGGTGATTCTAATGTACAGCCAAGGTTGAGAACCACTGATCTAGACAATGGAAAATTATTCAATGCTAAAAAGAAATGAGCTCTCAAGCCAGGAACACACATGCAGAAACCTGAAAAGGTTATATGCTGTATGATTCCAATAATACGATATTCTGGAAAAGGCAAAAGTATGGAAACTGAAAAGATCAATGGTTTCCAGGAGTGAAGATGGGGAAGAGATAAATAGGCAGAGCACAGAAAATTTTTAGGGCAGTGAAAAAATTCTGTATGAGACCATGATGATGAGTACATGCATTTGTCCAAACCCATTAAACGTACAACAAGAGTGAACTGCAATGTAATCTGTGGACTTCAGCTGAGTACGAAGTGCCAATGTAGGTTCTTCAATTATAGCAAATATACCACTCCAGTGGGGGGATGTTGATAATGAGGGAGGCTGTGCTTGTGGGGACAGAAGGTATATAAGGAATCTTTGTACCCCTCCTCCCCACCCCCCACGCAATTTTGCTGTGAACCCTACACTACTCTAAAAAAAGTTTTAAAAATTATCTACTTTATTCAAATTTGTAATTTTATATAAATGAGGCCTGTCTTTTTATATCAATTACAGTGTTGGTTCTAGTGATTATGACAGGAACATTGATTCCTTTAATTTTTATAGCATGTCTTTATTATTTTTCATGTGTGAAGAAATAAGAACTATGTAAATACTAATCACCATGGAAATATGATTGCCAAACACCAGCAGAGTCCTTGGCTAAAATTCAAAGAACCTCAACTAAATCCTCTATAATTTCATGTATTTATATTCAGTGTTTACTAGTAACCCACCTAAGCAACACCTGCAGGATTTAGGAAAACCCCTAATTATTTCAAACTCCATTGAGAGTGTGAAACTTCAGAACCAGAAAAGAGCTTAAAGATGATCTAGCCCAAACATCTCATTCACAAGGAAACTTAAAGTTCCAAGGGACAATACATCCAGACTACAAAACTACCTCAGACCAGACACAGCATCAAGCACAGCATGCCCTGAGTCCAGAGTACTGAGGCTCTTGCTGGTTCCCTTAATAGATCTGTAAGAAACTGTACAGCTGCACAGATGGCAAGAAGAAAGCAAAATCAGGAGCAACAAAAATCCACTTCATTATTGTACAACTAGGATGCCTACACCTTTTCCTAATAGGTATCACTGGAGACTGTGCTGTACGAACAAATCCCTCGAGAAAATTTTTCCGTAGCAACTTCTCCTCCTAGCTTCAACCCTTAGCTGTGCCTCCACCAGAATCAAAATGACAGAGCTACAAAGTGCCAAACCATAGCTCCCTTCACATGAACTAAATCCATTTATCCAAATGTATGCATTCATTGAACAAGTATTTACTGAGTGCCGACTCTATACCAGGCCCAGGTCTAGGTCCTGGGGTACAGCATCTGCACTGGCAGCTGAGCTTACTAGTATGCCTAGGTTCCCTCAAACCCATCCATTTAGAATACTGGAGGGTCTGCGAGAGCCATGGCATTAATCGTGTGCTGGGTCACACTGTACGTGCTCACTGCATTAAGAGTCTTCATAATCATGTTCACTAAGTTCAGGGGACAGGACAACTTGACTCAGGCACCTTTATCCACAGTGCCAAAATCCAGGTCAGCTCTTATACAGTAAAAATCAGGTGGTGTGCCTGTAACTCATGACTGACATGTTGCTACAACAGATGCTAGAGATGCCCTTACTGGAGATTTAGGTAAAAGGTCTCTAGCAGTGAAAAATAATGTTAAATGCAACCATGGACTGCCTAGAGATTCTACAAGATTTTCCGTTTGACATTATACTATGACTGATTCTGTATGGTTCCATAAGTGATTATTATATAGAGGATATTTTATTACATGCACTGTTTTAAGAACTGCAGAAACAAAAATGAGTATGATGTCATCCCTCCCCTTAGGTCTGCCGATGAGATGGACATAAACAGTCACTATAATGTGGTAAGTGTGGTAGTGAGGTATGCATGCGGTACCATGGGATGCAAATGAAGACAAACTTCACCCATCTTGGGCAAAGCAGTGGAGCACACAGTGGCTTCCTCAAGGAGAGAGTGCCTGAACAGGAGTTAGAAAGCTGAATAGGAGTTAGTCAGGCAAATGGGGGAACATTTCCGACAGAGACAATGTGAATAAAGGCATCAAGACATGAAACAGAATGAAATATGTGTGAGGAAAAATGAGCAGTTTAGAATCACAATAGCAAGAAATTAAAGGAAACCAGAGAGATACCAAAGCTCTGATTGTAAGGACCGGGCACATAGTAGTGTTCAAAATATTTGATAAAAGAACTGGCTACAGCTTTCATCAAGGAAAAGATATGAGCATTTGTCATGCGTGTTGGGAATATTTTGTATATTCATTTTGTTAGTAGAAACAAAATATAATGCATAAATAGAATAATAAGAACATGATGCAGTCAGCAAGAACATGGCTCACTCAGCATGTTACTTTGAAATGCAGGCATAATAAAGAGGAAATGGCTGAACAGTTTCGATATTCTTGTGACCATAAGAGAGGAAAGAGCTGGGGTGGGGCCTGCACAGAAGACACAGGCTGGGATCATATGGAAAAAGATAAACGGGGCATGCTCAGGGTCTCTGAGTTTGAGAACTTCTTGGATATAACAACCATCTCTTTTTTCTTCCCCCACTCCATGCCCAGATACACTCAACATAAATAAAGTACCTGTGACTCTACCTGCTTTCCTCATGGCAAAGCATGGAGGAAAGCCTGAACTGGGAAGAAGTAGAACTCATCTTCACTTCCTGGTGGTTGCTTTTGTAAGGGGACTTGAGTCCCTCACTGCTGCTGAAGAGGGAGAGGATATCCAGAGCTGGGGGAAAAGTAAGTCGGCACAAGCGATAGTCTAACAATTCCATGTTGACACACAGGAATTCTGGCCCAGGGTAGGTTTTCAGTAAGGATAAGAAAACAGAAGCAATCAGGTTAATAAGGGAGGGAGACACCATAACTACTGGTCATAAATTCTAAAAAATTTTCATCATACACCAAAAACAACTCAACAAGGTGAAATTTATCCTTTTAATATCTCTAACACTGGTTTTCTGTTCATAATGTATCTTTTTAAAAAAAAAGTGAGGCTGTGCAGGGATGGGGGCAGGAGTATATAGGAACGCTTTGCACTCTCTGCTCAATTTTTCTATAAACCTAAAATTGCTCTAAAATATAAAGTGTGTTTAACAAAAACAAAACAAAACGAAAGTCCATTAGTATAGAAGTTGATGCAGCTCAAGGCTGGGAGCCTGAGGTCCATGTTCCCAATCTCCAGGCCCAGAATTGTGACTCTGACCCTCACATCCCTGGACCACATCCCTGTTTTTGCTCCTCTAGGCATCTAAGGGCCTATGATTGGGCTCCCGTGATGACAAGGGGCTGAGACTCACTTAAGTTCATTTGAGTGAAGAATGGGAAGGGCATATATTAAGAGCAAAAGGCAAATAAAAGGGTAAGGAACCAAAGGAGGGCTGAGTCGCACAGAGGCTAAAAATTAAGTTTAATATTGATTCCCAGGCAGGCACAGCAAAGAGAGATCTATGGTATTTCTAATATATCCGTGTTAACAGGGTCATCATAATCCATCTGTCCACATCACTCTTCTCTGTTTTACCTTTTCTATACTCCTCGGAAAATTGCAACAATTTCCAAAACAAAACATCTGAACTTTTGAGACTAGGCAACATCACAAGACAATCGCCAGCTTGTGAGTGAGCTACCCTTGGGCCAGGGCCTCCCCTAGTCCAGTCAGCTTGACCAGAAAGGGGCTGTGTCATATGGTTCCTCACCAAGAGTCTAGAGGGAGGGACAATGAGCCTTAGCAGGAACTGTGGGTACAGCGCTCACTATGAATTCATTTATGATACACTAATGATAGCAAGGCCTTGGCAGAAATCTTAAGATGGAAGAAATGACATCTGGGTGGCACTACAGACTTAGCAATATAAAAGGTATGTGTGCAAAGTCTTTAACAGTAGAGACACAACTGGACATTCCTAAAAAATCCACTCTTAGCACTCCTCACTCCTTCCCCACCCACGCCCATCCCATAATTTAGAAAAACATCTATCCCCACTCTCCAAAATCCTAGGTTCTGAAGACATTTTAACTGAGCAAAATGAGACCTTAAGAGACACAGGGACAAGTATTTGAAGGCCCATTCCAAAGCTAGATTAACCTTTTCCTTAGCTTAGAGCTGTGTCCACATACTTATCATAGCCCTAACTGTGATTCTTCCACCTTTGTCGTTGTAACACAGTGATTTGGAAGAATAGTCTGGTCTATACAGCAAATGTCACACTGTAGAAATGAGTACTTCTGACCCAAAGCCTTGCTTCTGGCGGTACTAATCCCTTCTTAAAGCAACTGCAGGCAGCCCTTTCCCAATCAGGAAGCAGCCAGCAGAGCTGGAGCTCTAGAAGCCTCCAAGGAAGTCAGTCAGGACTGAAGAGACCTCTTTATTCCTTTAAAGATTTGTTAGTATACACTGGAATTGCTGAGCTTTCAATACACGAACAAGCAAATGGGGTAGGGGTGCGGGAGGGGCACTAACCTTTGAAGTCCCAGCTTAAGAAAAATTAAAATAATTAAATTTACTCATTAAATGACTATACAAGCAGACTCAAAAGTATTCTAAGACAATTATAAGGCAATGAATATTTTATAGGTGTACCTTGCTTTTTATACATTACATTTTCCTAAAAATATAATTGAATAAGAATTCAAAGAACTAGAACATAAACAGTAAGACTGTAAACCTGTTCTAGTAGCTGGGAAGTGAGGAGGTGAATATTTAGGGGGGAAACACTATACTATCCTAGTTCTTTTTATTATTTAAAACAGAATAAAAGACAAAAGTTCACAGTGTGAAACAAGATTGTCAAGTGATGAATAATTTCAATATCAAAAGATGTTTTGGAAAAAATACATGTGCTAGTATTGAGCTTGAACAAAGTAGATAGAGAACACTCACAAATACTATGGGAATTAACCAGAGAGTTCACATTTTTGGTCACATGAGTAAAGCAGCTTTTGAAAAGTCAGTTGATCTCTACATGAAATCTCTGATGAGATCACGAGATAGTGAATTCCCAAAAAACAAGGTCTTATTAGAAATCTTATCCTAGGTAGTACTGACCAATGTTACTGAAATAAAATAAAAAGAAACACATAAATCAAATTAATCTTTATACTTTTTATTTTTTTTTAGATTTAAGAAACCTCTTTCATGTATACTAACTATACATGCTTCTACTACACAAATATAATTTTACATACCACAATTAGGAAGTGAAGTGGGCAGACTATTTAGAAAAAAGACCACAAACTTTTGGTACAAAAAAGCCCCACAACTTTGAGAAGACAAGAATAAAGATTCTTGCCTTGTGTTTTTTAGTTTAGTTTTGTTTTGTTTTTTTAGCATTATGATAATGCTAAATAATAAATTTATTAAATCATTCCTATAACAATAAGCAAATCTATTTGTCGGCTCTCAATGTTCTTTTTAAAATTCGTTAGCAGCTGCCACTAGTGTGTTAGTCCATACCACCCTGAAGGCTACTGATCTCCAAAGCTAAAAATGTAATGGAAAATCCTTTAGGCTGAGCCTGGGAAATGATTTCAAGAGCCTGGTTATAAGCAACTACATAAAATTATTTTAAGTTGCTAATTATCACCACAGACAAGCAGTTAGGAGGTCACAGTTCTAGCAACATTTCCAAGGTAAATTGTTTTTCATTTTTATAAATTGTTTAAATCACATTCTGTGAGGATAGAAGTGGAAGAAGAGGACCACACGATAGTCAGTTCTCTGCTTGCCAGGTCCAGGCCTCTTTCTGATCATGTCAAAAGGAGGTCAAAGAACCATGGTCCATGTTAATCTGAAGAGCCCTGTTATTGGGCATTATTACCCATTTTTAGATGAAAAAACAGAGGTTGGGTGAAATAAGGTAGCCTGGCCAAAATAACATGGCTAGTTAAGTGATTGAGCCAGGATTTGACCCAAGAATGTGTAGCCCCAACTTTTATTCTCTCTCCATTACAATGGGCTCATTGGGAGGCTTCTTATTCAAACCTCAGCTCAAATGTCTCCTCAGAGAGGCAGGACATCTTCTTATATTAGTAGCTTTATTTTCTTCACATTTTAAAGAGAGAATTTATATTAGTACACACAAACACTCCATCCATGCTTTTGTTCCGGCCCTCTGGTCCAGTGTAAGAACCCATTGTGAGCCTCGAGTCAAAAAGTTTGCCCACCCCTGTGCTAGACCCTGAGAGTCTTTTCCAGTTGAAAACAAACAAAAGCCTTTTGCAGGTTTTTTTCAAATAGTAACTTGGATAAAAATTTTTCAAAGAGGAGAAAAAAGGAAATGACCCAGAAGAGAAAAATAAGGATGTTAAGAAGGAAAGCAGAATTGCACTTTCTCCCGTGTGGCTTCACTGAAAGGCTAAGAGGCGTGGGAGCGGATTCTAAAGGCCAAGCGTGCAAACCTGACTACTGTCATGCCCCATGGAGTAAT